TTGTAAGCGAGGTTTCTGTGAAAGCGAGGGACCTGAGAGAGAGTGGCTGCCGAGAGAGTAACTTCTAGGAAATTTATCAGTGTGCATAGTGTAATTAAACACTCGAGCTCAGAGGGTTCCAGGCAGAGGACAGTGTCCTAATCCTGCTCTCAGTCAGGTCTGTCACCTGACTGGCTGATGATGGCTGCCCTGTTCCTGGGTGAGCCCCGTGTGTCTGGCAATCTCAATCATGTTGATTGCTGCGTGTGTGTTTTTGTGTATGTTTGTGTGTGTGGCGTGGGCAGACACCTTCACGCTAGCAAAACCTAGCCTTTACTCATTCTCATCGCTCACTACAATACACCCCCATCACCACCACCACTGTCAATCCACAAACAGGATGTGTCCATGTGTGTGTGTGAGTGTGTGTTCAATGTTGCCTAAAAATAGAAGTGACGAGCAGGCTTTAGCTTACAGGTTACAGTCCCAGGGGACACCGTACTGTATGTGTGTGTGCCTGTGCGTGTGTGTGGTGTGCATGCCACTCAGTGAATCCCTAACAAGTGTTACATAACATTAACCTTGCCTTCCTGAGAAACAGCACTGCTGTAGATCCCTGTGCCATTTGCCATGATGGCTTTTTCAGGTGGCTTCTTTCTGTGTTTAAAGGTGGAGAGCGCAGATTTAGCACAACCCATAGAGCCACCATAGCCACATTCAAATACTTCAGATTGAAATAAACCGGAATTATCCTTTAATGGAACAATGCCATCTGTATAAGAAGGAAACAAATAGTATTCATAATGTATTGTGTTGTTATTATTTCTTTCTATTCTCTGGCAGGATCCAAAAAACATTTAGCAATTCACATCCCATCAACCATTTGTCTTTCTCCACGCTACCGTGATTCCCTGATGCACCCAAGCCCGACATGCTCTGAACTTGACAGAGGATTGCGCAGATCATGAAGTACGGAAGCAATGCTTGCATATTTGTAAATCAGGATTAGAGGCCAATCTCGCGGCAGGTTGATTGAATCGGGCCGCCCGTCTTCCTCCCGTCCTAACCCCCTTGGTGCTTTCAGGAGGGGAGAGATAAAGGGATTTGGGCTCTCTGAGATTTGCAGTGAGACTTCTTATACACCCCCCCGCCCTCCCGCCCCACCCCCCCACCACCACCACCACGTCCACCTCCCACCTCCAGCTGCTGAGCAGATTGTTTTTAGCCAGGGCCTCCAGGCAAGAGCTCACAATGTCTTTTTCAAATTCATGCTTTCAATACCTCTGACATGGCTTTCTTTAACTGAATGTTCCTGTGTCGCTGTCGTGATATTATGTTTGTGCTATGAGTTTGAGCCGTCATCCAAAGCCATGGCGAATGTGCGTATTTTGTTCATATTCAACCCTACAACAAACAGGAATATGTTTGCCTTACTAACTGCCAACCATTTTGGTATAGCGTGATTTTAACTTGTGATATATTTGTTGATAGTTTCATTCAATTAGCTGAGTTGGACTGTCATATCTTCTGTTCCTCTTATGGTAAAATGGTCAACATTCAGCATAATAGAGGAAATGTGCCCACCCCTGTCCTGTGCTGAAATCTGACTTACCACAACTTCTACATTATACAAATGAATTCAGTAGCCTATACAGCTACCTAGTATTAAGTAGGCTAAAAAATAAGATCGGCCTATATGATTGTAATACGTGATAATCCCATTGAAATTGAATTTCTATGGATAATCCATATAAATCAAAATAAGATACTGCAGCAATGTAATAGTTCAACATTTTGAGAAATATGTTCATTCTCTGTCTTTCTGAGTTTTTATGTTTTTCTTTCACTTGAGACTATGAACAAAACAGGATCTGGTCTTGTGTGAGATCTATGATATTTATAGTATGAAAATAGCAGCCGCCAGTGGACATATTTTTTCAGCATGGTGCATCCCCTGGACAGTAAACGCATAATCGGGTCATTATGGACAAGAGTGAATAACCTAAAGGGTGTGCTGGTACAGCAGACATCACAACGGGAGATCACAATGTCTGTAGTATTGTCCTACATATTTGTGAATTTGGGTACATTTTATGAACCCTAGAAATATACAGTTATTGTCTACCAGCAGTCCCCTGAGAACTCCGTGCTGCCCCGCTGCCTTTGCTAGGAAACAGCAGTGCACAGAGCTTCAGAGAGCCTGGGATGAGAGGCAGGCGGGCAGGCGGCAAGGTGTCAGATCTGTGCAGCGCCCCAGAACAAAAACACAGGCAGATCACGGACAGTATTATAATAACATCCAAAACACAAGTTTCACTCTCAGTGGTTTCTGTGACATGAAGAATACTTTGAAAACTAGTAAAGTCATGCGATGCCACATGGATCTGATGTTCACAATGTGGCATCTGGAAAAATAATAAGGTGCCTCTCTGGGACACGGTGACAGTGAGTTAACTGCATCCTTTTCCTGCGGCCTCTGCGGCTCCCTGGGCGTGGGGTCTGGGCGCTCCTGCGGTCTTGTGGTGCCATACCACCCGCCTTCCCCCGCAGGGCTGGCCCTGGACCCTGGTGATGGTTTTCATAAACACATTGGGAGGGTTCAAATACACGCATGCATGTTCGATACTTCAGCTCCGTGACGCATAGCAAAGAACAAATGGGATCACTTAAAAGGGGCCCACTTGCTTCTCGAACCTACCACACTGCGCTGGCAACTCTTCTCCACAATCGGGCTTTCCTCCTCCACCAGGACTCTCACATTTTTGGTGTTCAGTATAGACTTCTCATTAGTTTTTGTTTTTCAGTACAGAATAGTAGACATGTATATGTTTATTTTTGATAATCTGTATGGAGCACAACCACCTCAAGGCCACAATACATCAGCTACACTGCCTGTTTCTCCTCTGTTTTTTTGTTTGTTTCTTTGTTTCTTTGTTTCTTTGTTTTTTCCTCCTTCTTCTCCGCATGCACTGTCGCTATATAGCTCAGGATTTAAGCACCTACCCCTCAATCCCCCCTGCTTGTTCCTTACTTTCCCCTTGACACACTTTGGTGTATCACGGCCCTCTCTGGCTCATACTAGGAAGTTTTTCCAATAAAGGCTGATAGGCTAGTCTCCAGGGAGGGTGGGTGACGGTCACAACCACGCACAGTATGGGTATAAAATACTTGACTGCAAGATTACCAGTGCATCAATCTTCATAAGAAGCTTACACCCTTTAGTGACGCTAAGCTACGAAGACCAATGCAGACAGGTAGAAAAAAAAAAACCAAACTGCATCCTTTTCGATTTTGATGTGTCAGGGATACAGGACACGTACCTCGCTATATCACTGTGATTCTCATAGACTTTTATACAATTTACTTTTATATTTTTTGCATCCAGTGGTGTCTCCCCCTGCTGGCCATTAAAAGGAAGGACGAATGCAGGTTTAAGGCAATTAAGCATTGGCTTCCCTTTTCAGGCCCGCAGACTTGGTGTGGAGTCAACGCAGACAAAGTGCATCATTCCACAAAGTATTTCTCACAAAATTATCATGTGGTGTTTTCTGTCTTTTTAAAATGAGAGGGACATTATACTATTTGGCAAATAAAATAATCTTGCCAACTCTTACATGCACACATTCATTTCTATTACAAAAGATGTACTCTAACATCTGTTCTCATCTTTTTTGGCTAGTAAAAAAAGTAGATGGAAACACAATTTCTTTACTTCAAGCCAGCAAATTGTTTTTATTTATTATTAAAGACATGGAACATGATGTTAGTGGTGGGATTAAGTTCCAGTTATCGTTTAAAACATTTTAATCTTCACATTTGCTCAGAATCACGGAAAATCCGTCTACGGAGTTTTACGTGGGTGGAAAAACATTAATTAAGTCAACTAGTGGAAAAAAGCTTGAATTAAATTGATTGCCACCCACTCAAATCATGTTGGCATCATCTGAATGATAATTGTAAAGAAAAAAAATGTCAATCACTGTTCAGTACTGACTCATTGTCTGCATCTGTATATGACTACATGAAAATTCTTGACGGACAAAATATTTAGCGTTTTATAATAGTGAGTGTTAACCTTCACCTTCAGGAGATGGAAACATCTCTCCCATGAAGCTCAGAGGTAAAAGGATGGCAAAACTGGATTTAATAAAACTACACAGACTTTAAAAACTACTGTACAACACAAAAACACCTGTAAACACGAGTGGTGTTTTAAATATGTAAATAAATGTTCACTGAAGATACACGTATATTTATATATATATATCATCTAAATTCTTGACTTTCAAAAGTTTATAACTACAGTGCTTATGCATAATAAAGACAGAGAAAGCAATACCCTGCAATCTTACCCTTGTGCAATTTAGGCTATCAGTACTATGCACTAGAGGGAAACAAATGTACCAAATCCACAATTCACTTTTGAATTCTGAAATCAGAATTTAGTTCAATTATTAATGTTGTGCAATTATCATCGTTGTCTCTGCTGTAACTGATATTTCTGTTTGACCACTTAATACTGACTGAATGCATGCAAATATTACATTTTGGTCAAACAAAGAATGGCTGAGTAATAGCGTTATTTCAGTGAGACAGAATCATACATTTATATTACTCCTTTGAACAAAGAATTATCTTTATGGATTTCTTTTGTAACCATCCACACTGACTTTGAAACCTTGTAGGTGTAATAAGTCCAATAATCGTGGCACAGCACACACACACCACAACAGGTACCAGCTAAGAGAAAAGGTGTCCGAAAGTGCATAAATCTTGCATACAAATCAGAGAAACAGCTTAAAAAATGATTGTTCCACTGATAAAGCACAGGTTCCCTTGATTTCTTTGTGTACAATTGGCAGTGCCTTTTAATGGAGAGCAATCACAGTACCTGCTATACTTCAGAATGCATCCAAAGTGGCTCTCATTTACTGTGTGTGTTCTCTGTTTCCCTGGCAACTTTTGCAAAAGTGTATTTATCGAAATGAAGCCTCTTGAAAGAATGAACAAGGAAGACTGACCTCTGAGAACCTCTGCACATCCTGTGTGAGGGTCCCCACACGGCTCCAGTTGTAGTAGTTGAGGAACTTCACTACTGCTGGGTTCACAGCATTGTCTGATGGGACGGTGCGGAAGAAGTTGGGGTACTTTTTCTTGTCTGCCAGAACTGGAGTTGTTGCTGCAAAGGACAGCTGGAATGACAAAAGAGGGAAAAATACAGTGAGCTTTGAGTTAAATTCTGCAGTCTTAGATAATCCTGGCAACAAACTGTCAGATTATGCTGGTGTCAGTTGAACTGTTGGTACAGTGGCACTGTTAAGAACTGTGTTGCTGAACCTTAAGTACCAGCTGACAGATCTCAGGTCTGCCTTTGCTTTGGTCAGTGGCCTAGCTCCTGCCATTTCGGGGATTAAACCATGGCAGCAAGGCCGTGACGAACACACACTCATTCATAGTGGATGGATGGGAGCAAATCAAGTCTTTCAAATTATTTCAAATGTCAGTGAAATATCCCCTTCAAAGTGTAACTGTAAATAGATTTGTCCATATTGGTTGGAACTGATGACCCCTGTATTCATGACCTTTCAAGCTGGCTTCATACTGTGCCTGTATGTATAACTGTGTGAGTACCTGTCTGTGTGTTTGCGTATGTTTTTGATGGCGAGAGAAAAGCAGCTTAGCAAGATGATTCATCCCTGGGTTGGTAAGTTAAAAGCATTTCCGTTCTTCACACTGAAGCAGTTTGAAACAGGTTCCTCATACACGCAGGCACCTAAGAATAAATGCAGTGAACCTCAAACACTAATTGCCTTTTTACACACACCTATTTTTCAGTTCAACAGCTGCAACCTAAGCAAGTTTCAAGCACATCAATTCATGTTCAAAAAAGGAGGGTGCACCAAACTTTGAAAGGCAAACTTTTTAAGTATTTTTCCGGAGCATTAACACGCTAATGAACTAAATATGATGCAGCGAGCATAAACCCTCACTGAATTCAATATAGTTGGAAAAGTTGGAGAGTGTAACTTAAGTTGATACCGGTCTAGTGAAGATTTATTAAGCAATTAAAACACTGCAAGCACGCTCATGAAACACGATGAGAATGTCTACAACTGGTACAAATTTGGACGTTGAGTGTTTTTCCCTTGCGCAGACACACAGAGATACAATCGCCACCGACGGTCACAACTGTCCTCATTTTCACCCATTCCACCTTCAATTGTCAATGCCACGCTAATCAAGTTTTGCTCTCACTCTTCCACTTTGTGGCACATTTTCAACAATAGGTCACTAATTTCCTCCAGAGGCAAAAATGGCTGTAATTAATTTTTGCATTAAGATTAGAATTTGCAAGTCTGTGCACTGTGACAACCAGCACAGGCCAGAATAGACAAAGATCTGCCATTTTGTTTAACTTACACTTTTTATACTCAGTTTAAATGGCTTCATAAATAACTGTAGCAGCATCATAGTATTATTTTTGTAGTATTGTAACTAAATGTGCTATAAAACAACATTTCAGTCATTTGACATGATGTACATTTAAGGAGCATGTAAAAAAAGGTACAGACATGTCTGTGATACTGTGCAGACATCTTTACCAAACATCAAAGAGACATTTGTTAACATGCATAACTTTCAGTGCGGCGGTATGAAAGGTACTTAATATTTAGGCACCAGCAGCTGAGCTGAGATAATAAGGCACTGTGCTCTATTTTCAACGTCCTATCTGTCGTAATATAATGAGCGATATGAATCAGTGCAGGGTTAATTACATACTTTGTAGAGATTAAGCAAAGCTTGTGATTCATGATAGCGATCAACGCAAGGATATTATAATTCTGACTGAGACCAAGAGGTACACCAGTAGATTTCCTAAAAGTGTGCTAAGGCCTCGAGGGGTTCAAGCACCTCCTAACTTTAGGGATGACTGTGATCTTTTCATTAAGCTTCTATCCACTCCTAGACTTCGTCGCTACTCATTAATCACAGTACTGCCGGTTTAATTGTACACTCGGTGAAATCTGATTACCGCTGAAGATGTGTAGCATGGTTGAAAGAGAGTAACTGACTTAGAATGACAGAAATGTGAGAACTTATTTAAAGAATCAGAGGGCATTCAAAAGTCAAACATCATTTTTAGATAGCAGGACTGACAGTCCCAGAAATATATTATATGGTGTAAGATAGCATGACAGCTATGATAGTACAGTTGAACTTTATTTGACTGTATTTAAATACAGATAACTTAAAATATTATCAGAGAATCAGCATGAAGGGCATAAGTATTTCTATGAGAGAATGTTGTCCTTTGTATACTGTTTCTTTATATGATGTATGGGTGAATACTCAATTGCCTTTGTTTGTGAAGATCTTGATATCGATTGGCAACAGTGACATGGCTGGATAGCTACCTAACCTTGTTGTTAAACATAATTTTAATTATATATTCTGTCAACTGCATGCAATGCCATTGACTTTAAATCTTGCTAGCATGACATTAGCTTTCTGGCTATTAGCTGAGCCAGAGTTCTATCTTGTATCTAGGGGTGATGATTGTTCCAGGTATTAGTCACACCCATAGACTCTATGAAATAATGGAGATAACCACAGTGACATCACCCATTGGTTTGTAGACTGCCATTTTGAAGCAAACAAGTGTGGCATTTTGGCTATTGCTGTTTCAGTTTTTGGAAGCATGAAGTGACCATATTTGGAGCCAGCCTCAAGTGGCCGTTAGAGGAACTGCAGTTGTTGGCACCTTCGCATTGGCTTCATTTTTCAGCCTCAGAGGTCAAACCCTTTAGGTGTTAACTCAGGGAGTTGTGACTTGTAAAAGCTTTAGATTTCGATTGCAAAACCCATGAAAATATAAATGAATGGTCTTTTCTTTGGCAAGTGACCATGGTATGAGCAGGATAATGCCCTTTGAGGCGTTCATAATCAGGAATTAATGGATTCATTCCTGATAACGGACACCTCAAAGGGTATTATCCCTTACGTATTAGCAAATAAAAAAAGAGACAAGTTCTAGGCCAGCCTTTTTTTACACCCTCAACACCCTCTCTGTCATCAACTGAGCCATTTCAGTCCATCCCAAATCTACAAGTCTTCACCAAACCAGTGGGAAACCCCCAGTTTGGCCCTCTAAATCACCACTTCTGCACAGACCCACAGGGGTTTGTGTTCACACATCAACGAGACAGGCTTTTAAAACAACACATGGATTACAGCCATCAATTAAGCAGGAAGAAAGGCCTTTATCTTGCTACCACTGCTAAATCCAAAATCACCCACCAGTCTTAGAGGGCTTCAAGGGGTCTTTCCAGCGTTGCCTTAATCTCCGTTTAGCTAAGGCTGTTTGCTACACCCACACTGGGAGATGCTGCTATGGTTCTCTAATAAGAGCTAGTGATCTCCTAAAACCAAATTGATTGCACCAGTCCTCTCACAACTGCACTGTGAGGAGACTTTGCGGTCAGAGGAAGATCCACAACCTTATCCTTTCCCCCCCTTAGGTGTTTTAGGTTTGCCTGGCTGTTTTGTAGGAGTTGTTTTTGCTTTTGGCACAATTTTACTTGTTTTATTTGATACACTGAACAGTGAACTGAGAATCCAAGATACACTACAGAAGGAAATATTGATCGATCAACACTCATGCTGGATCTAAATCTTTATTGGAGTGAGGGTTTTCCAGTTTGGTTTTCTTCTTGAGGGAAAATAACATGAATCTTGATTTAGGTAATTTGCAAATGCAAAAATTGTCAGTGATAAATCTTAAAAAAGCAACATACAATCAACAATGAAGGATCACCTCAGCTTAAATTACCAAACATTGTTAAAGCAGGATGTGTCAGTAACACAAATATGTAGCAGAGCAAGGCTGAGACCTAAATATTCATGTTTTTGCCACTTGAGACCACCTGGAGCATCACAGAGAAAACATACTGTCTCAGCCAATTATGCTCACATACTGAAAAATCCAATAAAAACCATCAAGGCACTTTACAGTAAATAATCAATTTTTCATTTCCTCACTCTTGCAGGTAAAACTCTTTCAGCCAAGCCTTTCAGGTTCACTGAATGCAAGGCCATCATATGTGTGCGAGTGAAGGCCTTGACATACATGGATCAAATATTGTATTTTACTAACCAACCTAACTTGACTCAAGATAGATGGGTCCTTTGGTGTGATACAAAATGGACCATGGAAAGCAGAAAATAGTCCAATCATGACATTAGACAAATCTTGCCATCTGTTTGATGTCAGAGCAAAATCTAGGACAGTGACAAAGATACGTCTTGTTTTGGCCACTGAATCCAGGTCAGCTGATGGGAACAGCTGAAGTTAACGACAATAAAACACATGATTTTCTTTTCGGACATCGAAAGTGAAAACCTACAGGTCAATACAAGTCAGCTTTGGCACAATTTTGTGAGGACAGTGCATTAAGACATTGAATATCAGAGGGAGCTCCGATGTATTATTTAAAGAATAAGCTAGTCTTTATCTAACTCTGCACAGCCTTTTTCAGAGGAAAAGCCAAAAATAGTTCCATGATATCACACATCTGAGAGTAGTGGCTTATGTAAGAGGGTTTTAAAGAGGGCTGGCCCAAATTGGATGGTCTTTGGTAGAGAGCTCTACACCAGTGTGAGATTTACACATGCAGTGTGCACGTACACACAGATCACTCACAGGTTAAGGCACATGTATTCACACACTCTCGAACCAGAGCTCTCTGATACACACAAACTACAGTGGCCTTCCTTTGCCAGCAGTAATTAAAACTGTGGCAATGGGCTCAGGGCAGCGCCTCGCTCTCATCTCACCACAAGGTCACCGAGGCTCTGGGTAAAATGACTGAGGATCCGTCTGGTCCCACTGAGACACAACCAGTTTTTGTGAAGACTTGAGGTGAATCTCTGATAGCATCGCACTAGTGATCTATTCAGACATTCTGTACACACACACAGTTGCTTATCACATTCTATTTGAAGTGAGTACAAAAGCTTTGCTGTCTCTCCGTTTGGGCTTATTCAAGTCACAATCAAACTAGTTTTATGTTTATGCAAGGAGGAAAAATGAGAGAGGGGCCAAGAATAGAAAATAACAGGTACAGCGAGACAGAGTCAGAGAGCAAGGTGAGATGTTTAATGCTGATTCACCAGCTATACTCAAGCGAATAAC